GGTATTCATGCATGTGAAAGTTTTTCAATTGATATATATATATATATATATTTTAATATATTTTATTGATTTTTTACAGAGAGGAGGGGAGAGAGATAGAGAGCTAGAAACCTTGATAAGAGAGAAACATCGACCAGCTGCCTCTTGCACACCCCTTACCGGGGATGTGCCCGCAACCAACGTACATGCCCCTGACCGGAATCGAACCTGGGACCTTTCAGTCCGCAGACCAACGCTCTACTGCTGAGGCAAACCAGTTTCGGCTCAATTGATATTTTTGAGTTCTCCAGAACTCAAATATAGTTATAGCACCTATCAATAATAATTTTTTTACATTTAGATTTGTCAATTTTTAAACATCTAATTTCTGTCTCTTGATTATCTGAATTGGTTAGTATCTCTAAAACTCTGTTAAAAAATTTGGTGACATGGCTACAAGGTCATCTTTATTCATTTGACTGCCCTGAGTAAAAGCTATGAGTGCCTTCCCATGGCCCCATGTTATTTTTTTTTTTTTTTTTTTAAAGTTCATATTCAAGTGTGTTTAAAGGATCACTTACATTGATTCTGTTTTCTGAAAAAGTTGTAAAATGTTTTTAACCTAAGTCAATTTCTTTTTTGTTCTTATTTTCTCCATTCTATGTAACTCAGATGGCCAAAATATAAGCCCTTTCATTGCTACTTATTAAAAATAATTATAAATTGATTAAAAAGATAGTGGCAATAACTAATATCCTATATAAAAATCCAATATAATAAAAGGGTAATATGCAAATTGACCCTAAAGTGGAGTGGCCAGTTGCTATGACATGCAATGACCACTAGGGGCCAGATGCTCAATGCAGGAGCTTCCCCCTGGTGGTGAGTGCACTTCCATAGGGGAAGCCCCGCTCAGCCACAGGCTGGGTTGAGGGCTACAAGCGCAGTGGCAGTGGTGGGAGCCTCTCCTGCCTCTGTGGCAGCACGAAGACATCAGCAGGACACCCCCCAAGGCTCCTGGGCTGCCAGAGGGATGTCTGACTGCCAGCTTAGGCTTGATCCTCTGGGGAGTGGGTCTAAGCCAGCAGGTGGACATCCCTTAAGGGTTCCCAGACTGTGAGAGGGACTGTCAGTAAAAAAAAAAATGCTGACTTTTAGGTTGAAGTACATTTTTATCATATTAAAATATGCATATGCTCCTGTTTCATTATGTTTTTAAAAAATCAAGAATGGATGTTGAATTTTGTTAAATTTGTTAAATCACATTTTTTATTAAATGTGATTTTAACATGTCATTTTCATGTGCATTAAAGAAAACATTACTTTCTCCTCAGATATATTAATATAATTAATTATATTAAACCATCATTGCATTCCTAGAATAAATCCTATTTGTCCTTGATGTATCTATCCTTCTTTGAATGTTATGAAGTTTGTTTGCTAATATTTTATTTATTTTTTTACATTAATTAGCAAGTTTGATTGGTGCTATTTTGTCAATTTTTTACTTAATTTTAAGCTTCTATCATTAAAAAATGTGAAAATTTATTTTTATGCTCGAGAGTTTACAGTAAAATTAGTTGTTCTTTTAAGGTTTGGCAGATATCATCTATGATATTATATAGGCTTGGTACTTTTGGAGGGAAGTTCTTAGATAGCTTTCTTAATTTTTATATGGCAATTAGTTTGTTTAGATTTATTGGAGATTTAAATTTTTTGAATATTTTTTTATTGTTGATAGTATTACAGATATCTCCCATTTCCCCCTGACCTCTTCTCCCTGACTAGAGATTTTGAAGACATAAGTGACATGATCTGACTTGCTTCAGTAAAATCATTTAAAAATTGAAATATATAGGTCAACATTTTGTAACAATATTCAACTTATATAATTATAACTTTACTCCCATCAAAGAGCAATTCATTTTTCCTCAGAAAGTTCTTATTTAATATTTAATGTTATTATAATCAGATCACCAACAGATATAACAAGGAATAAAATATTGATAGGTTAAATATTCCATAACAAAGATAACTAGGTCAAGAAGATTCTTGATGTTATATGGGAGAGAAGATATGAAGTATAATAATATTAACTATTTTTGAATAGTATAAAAGATGGTGATAAGAATGTTACCCACTTGCTTTATTGAGAACAGTGTTAATTATGGGAATGGATGTGATAGGCATTCTATAATCTATGTGGAGAAGTTATTAAAAACACATGTTATAAAGATGGTTAGAAAGGTGAAAAAAATAAAAATCACCTATAGGACATGGAAAAACATCCAAAGCTATTGGAAAGTTAATTTAATTAAGTATGCTAAGTTAACTCAGAAAATTGACCTGTTTAAGTATTAAATGATCAATATGTTTAGTAGGTTCTAAGCTATTAATTATAATCCACAAAAGGGACGTAAGAGTTGTTTTTCCTCTGTGTGTGTGTGTGTGTGTGTGTGTGTATATATATATATATATATATATATATATATATATATATGTAAAACACCTATGTTCAGAAACATATCTTCAATGATTTCCTTTGCCAACTCCTGCCCCCAAAATCCAAACTCTTTAACATGTCTTTTCAGGCCTTTCATAATCCAGCCATTCCAGTCTCCTTCCCACCATATCCTTTCATATATCCATGGTCTAAAAGTCTTAGACTATTCACAACTCCCAAAATATAACTTCCATTCTCTTACGTTTGTACTAAGTATTGCTTCAACCTGGAATTCCTCATCCCCTTCTTCCCAAACTTAAGGTTCACTTAGATTCTGTTTAAAATACAGATCTCGAAATCTACACACCAAGATTTTTGGGGCATAATTTTATGATTTTATTAACACAAATACAATGTGTACACAATCTGTCTATTCATTTTCTTCGCTGTGCAGCCTGGCATTGGGTTTGGTGACTCTGATGGCCAGCTGGGCTGCTCTTTCCACAATGGCTTTGCGGTTCTTGGAGGTGACGTTGTGAGCAATCTCGCACAGTAAGACTTATTGCACATCAGCAGCACTTCAAGCTTGATGTTATGAACCAGAAACTTCCGAAAGCCACTGGGCAGGATGTGCTTTGTTTTCTTGTTGCTCCCATAATCAATGTTGGGCATCAAGATCTGGCCCTTGAATCTTCTCCGCACCCTATTGTCAATGCCTCTGGGTTTCTGCCAGTTCCACTTAATTTTGACATATTGGTCTGACTGGTGCCGGATGAACTTCTTGGTCCTCTTTTTTACAATCTTGGGTTTCACGAGGGGTCTGAGGGCAGCTATGATGCCGAGTAGGAGATGGCTGCCACCTTCGTAGACAGCACCGAGGAAGAGAGGGGGACCAATCCAAGATTTTGATTAAAAAGGTCTGGGGAGACTTGGAATCTGTATTTTAAACAAGTATTTCCTCCTTTCCCGACAAATGATTCAATACACACTTTGAGAAATTTTGGTATTCTGAAAAGGGAGAAGATCTAGGTTTGCTTCCCAAATATGCTATTTTATGTGACTTTAGAAAATCAATTAGCCCGGTCGGTGTGGCTCAGTGACTGAGCATCAACCCATACATCAAGAGGTTGCTGGTTTAATTCCTGGTGAGGGCAAGTAACCCAGGCACGGACTTGAACCCCAGTGGAGCCATGCAGGAGGCAGCTAATCTCCTCTTTCTCTCCCTTCTTCTCTCTGTAAAAATCACTTCAAAACTCTTTAATTTTTTTCCCCCTCAGATTCCTTTTCCTCTCCTCTAGTACAGGGATGGTGTACTATTTTTTAGGAGACCCAAAGGTAGCATGCATTATAGTAAAGAGAATACATTTTTATGACTATTCTTCAAGATCCTATTCAACATCTTTTTTTAAAAAAATATTTTATTGATTTTTTACAGAGAGGAAGGGAGAGGGATAGAGTTAGAAACATCGATGAGAGAGAAACATCGATCAGCTGCCTCCTGCACACCCCCTACTGGGGATGTGCCTGCAACCAAGGTACATGCTCTTGATCGGAATCGAACCTGGGACCCTTGAGTCTGCAGGCCAACGCTCTATTCATTGAGCCAAACCAGCTAGGGCTCAACATCTTCTTATAAAGTCTTTATTTCTCTTACTATAATTAATTATGCATTTCTTTTTGCTCAAATAGCATGTTTACATTTCTATTTAACATTTGTTTCATTCTCTCTTTGACATAGTTAACTTATTAGTCTCCTATTCTGGCTTTGAAATGCTTTGAAGGCAAGAACACTGTCTTTTTTATAATTGTATTAGAGGCCCGGTGCACAAATTTGTGCACCAGCGCAGGTCCTTCGGCAAGGTCTGTGGGATCAGGCCAAAACTGGCTCTCCGACATCCCCTGAGAGGTCCCAGATGGGAGGGGGCACAGGCCAGGCTGAGGGACCCCACCAGTGCACAACTGGGGCAGGGAGGAGGGGTTGAGGGATGTGAGAGGTTGGTCAGCCAGGGAGGGACAATGGGAGAGCTCCAGGGTGTATCCAGCCCGGCTCAGCCTTGAATGGCCAGACCCCAGCAGCAAGCTAACCTACTAGTAGGAGTGTCTGCCCCCAGGTGGTCAGTGCATGTCATAGCGACTGGTCAACTGGTCAACTGTCTGCCCCCTGATGGTCAGTGTATGTCATAGCAAGCGATTGAGTGGCCTTAGCACATCATTAGCATATTACGCTTTGATTGGCTGAATGGACAACCGGATGACCAAACACTTAGCATATTATTTATTATATAGAATTATGTCTTGTACATAACAATACTACAATTTTAATATACTAAAATAATAATAAACAACACTATTATAACACTAAATTGTGAAGGTTTGATGAAAATTTGACAGTCATATAGATTTTTGAAAGTTTAATCATATATGGAACTTGATTAAGATTTTATTAAGTAAGTCTCCTATCCTTATCCCACCTCTCTCTACTTATTAACGATGAGATGAGAATTGAAGTAACTAAGGCCAGGTTTGCTAAGTTAAGGTCAGTAATAACATCAATCTAATTCTTGTTAATTTTTTTCAGAAACAATATAATCAAAAGATTACAAGCCATCCAAAACAGTGGGAAAGGTTATGAGATCCAGGACCTTTACATAATGCTGAACAGAATTGATGGCTACCAGAAAAAGATGATGTGGGTCTGGACTGGGAAGCAGAAGTCTCTAGAGCAGAAACGGAATCAGTGCCTGAGGAAAATGATGCTCTTATTTAGCCAGGTAATCTGTTTTCTATTCCCTCGGCCCAGTGTATTACAAGAAAAATGAGAGTGGTAAGCCTTGAAAATAACATTCATCTGGAGACACCTTGTATACTAGTTTCCTAGGGCTACTGTAACAAACTTCATGGCTTAAAACAACAGAAATGTATTCTTTTAGAGTTCTGAAGGACAGTTTATGACATCAAGATAAAGAAAGAATCAAGATGTTCTTTTTGGAGGCTCTGAGAAATGAACTCCATGTCTCTCTCCTAGAGTCTGATAGCTATAGATAATTATTTGGCTTGTACCGTCATAATCCCTATCATCTGCTTTCGTTTTTCCTTTAGCCCTTCTCCCAGCTTGTCTGTCTTCACTTCTGAATTTTACAAAGTCATGTGTCATGGATTTAGGACCCACCTGTTTAATCCAGGATGATCTCATCTTGAGATCCTTAACTTAATTACACCTGTAAAGACCCTTTTTCTAAATAAGGTCACAGTCACAGGTTCTGGGTGCACATATCTGGGGCATCGCCATTCAATCAATTACACCATGACTTCAGTGAAACTCCTAAATTGACAACAGGAATACTGGCTGGACTTTCTAGATGAGAAAAGGTTAGAATAGGAGAGACTTCTAGAAGTGTTCAACTCATTCCTAGTCAACCCACATCTACTAGCTTCTCTTGAAGTCACTACCCTCCAACTGATTCATGACAGTTACTCCTTTCCTCACAACTATCAGAAAGCAAGTTTTAATTTGGTGACTTTACAAGAAGAGAGATAAGGATTTATTTAACTTGCTTACATAGCACCACGCACAGAAGACCCTGTTTAACTCTTAACAATCCAGTCATTATGTCCCAGAGCTCCCTCTGAGATGACCTTCCACGAAGTTATAAAAGTGAGATTAGAGCTCTTTGCTCTGGGAATACATGCCCCTATTACATGTTCTAGCAGAAGTTCTGGAACATTCTAGAAATCCTAGGAACATTTTGTATCTATATATCCTTTTCTTCCACTAAAGTAATTAATTTAGTTACTTAATAAGATCAGTTTACTTGCTACTTTAGAAGGTACAGAGACTTCTCATCATAGTCTGATTCAAATCAGACATATTCTGAATTTTCCAGAAGGGCTACATTTTGAGAATTAAAGCTCTTTGTAAATACACACACACACACACACACACACACACACACACACACACAAACACACAGTTTTTTGCTTGGAAAATATGGCCAGTGTAACTGGAAAGCAAGATCTGTTGGTAGTGTCATGAATTGTCTAACAGGAATCACAATATCTAGGGCTTGTCAGAGGATGAATAGGGTCTGGGGTCCAGGCAACCTTAATCTAGATGATAAGGTGGGTATTAAGGCATAACGAAGAGAGAGGAAAAAGCAAAAGAGAGAAGAGGATAGAAATGAAATAAATACCTTTCACTGAGTCAGGGTGGTGGTCAAGAGTTTGGTTCTGCTACCAGATTACATGGGTTCAAATGAGCTTCACTACATGCTAACTAGGAGACCATGGGCAAGCCACTTAAATTTTCTGAACTCCAAACCCCTATTTATAAGATAAGGACAATAATAGCACTTATCTCATAAGGTTGTTGTAAATAAAATATCAAATGAATTATTATGTAGACAGCATCTGACATTCAGTAAGGATTCAGTAAATGTTTTCATCATTGCATTTGCATAATTTTTACAATTTATGAAGTGCTCCCATATATGTTATACAATTCTCACAACAAACCTGTGTTACTATTCTTCTCATAGAATAATGAGAACGAGGTGCAGATAAAATTAGGAACTCACTCAAAGTTACACAGCTAGTAAATGAAATGGCTAGGATCAGAGCTTATGCAGGAGCTAGGTTTATATATATTATAGCTGCCACCACTGAAATTATGTTGAAGGTGGGGTGGAGGTTGAGGAGTAGTTGGAGAAGAGGAGAAAGAGAATGGAGAAATAGAATTTGCAAATCCATGATAAATGAAGAGTCATAGGTAAGCTAGGGCCAGCTCAGAAGACCTTCCTGAAGATTCTGGCCCTTTCTTTTCATTGTTTTCTTTTTTTATTTATTTATTTTTAGCTTCAAGATATATATAAATTGAATCTTAGTCAACCTGTACCTTTGTTCATCGACAAAAAGCAGAAACCAACCCCTATCAAACAGCCATTCCTAGACCTACCAATGAAAGAGGACAGAAAATCTGACATATTCAAGAAACTTAGGTATGTAGAAGGAAAGATTGACATTAAATTTTCTTTGGATGGTATGCTTTTTTCCTGCCCAAGATCTTCCCCTTCCCCACAATTATAATATGGTATAGTGGAGAGTCTAAGGATTATTAATTTTCTTAGCTAATTTAACAAAAGGCTTATTTAAATATATTCCTACTTAAATATTTAACATCCAATTTTGAGTTCCTTTTTAAAAAAGAGGCTGATCCGTTTTTACTAAGCAACAAATTAATATACAATGAAGAAACTTAGAAGTATTACTTAAAATAAAATAAAAAAGAAGAAAGTAGGAGCTTTGGGAAGGAAGAGGAAAAAGATTGCTGCTGGGAAAAAAGAAAAAAAGTTTCTGGATATGATCTATATACAGTAATCCAGGCAGCTAAAAAGGCAGTTTTAAAATGGATTACTAGGTAAAACTATGGAAATGCAGCTTTTTTGGGGGGAGGTGGGAAATTTCAGCAAATCCTGTTGTTTTAATTCATTTCTCAGTCAAAGTGGACATGACTAATGTTCCTCAGTGAGAGGAAGGGCCTTAGAGGATGGGGTGATGGTGGTGGTGAAGAAAAGAGGGGAGAATAAGAATCATAGCTTTTGATTGCCTATGGAGTACAGGAGAGTTTGGAGCTTTCAATTAGTGCTCTCTGACTCTCTAGAATACAAGATCAGATGGAAGCTATCTGGAATGCTGATCAGTCCGCTTCAAGCTACCCAATAATTGAGAAGACATCATCAATACATTCATTGTGGGCCCAGCTGGGTGGGTACCCACCTATTCCCATGCTGCTCCAGTTAGATGTTCAGTCTACCTTCAGAAAATCTCTCGCATCCATTCAATCACAGTAAGTTAAGGACTGGAAGCATTCTGATCATTGGGCTTTTGGTCAAATACCTCTCTCCCTCCTCCCCACCCAACTTAACTTTCTCTTACAGCACCTAGGAGTTACCAAAAGTATTCGTGTTTCTCTCTGGAGGCCTGCAGATGTCACTATGGAATAATATAAACAAAGCAACCAGTTATAACACCACAAAACCTAATCTAACACTAGATCAGCCCACTTTGAATTCCACCATTTATTATTGGGATTTTATTATTGAAAGTACCAGAAAAACCATAGTAGCATGCTTCTGCCCATCTCCTGGTTCAGTAACATACCTTAAATGCAGCTGTCATATCTGGGCCCAACTTGAGAAAATTAAGTGCTTCTATCCCAGGATATACTGAAGAATAGGGAAGGTGGGTGATGTGGGTCCACCTTTCCAAATTCTGTTAAACCAAATTCTCACTTGATTTCAAACTCTCAGAGTAAGAGATTAAGAGTCAATTATTTTGTAAATCCTAGTTTAGCACTTTGGAATCTGGTATCTATTATTAGGGTTGCCAGATTTAGCAAATAAAAATATAGGACACGCAATTAAATTTAAATTTCGGATAAACAACCAATGATTTAGTACTATAAGTATAGTCCATGCGATTATATTCTTATATTTAAAATTATTAATTTTTAACTGAAATTCAAGTTTAACGAGGCATCCTGTATTTAATATGGTAACTCTTCTATTGTGCCAAAACCTCCATTTTTTACAGCTATTGCAAAATATGTATGTATTGGTTTTAATGTAGAGGTAGATGCCTGAAAACTTTCAGAGTTGAGATGCTAAAAACAGTGGGGGGGGGGGTGGAAATTAAGACATTATAAGAAAATGGAAGTCTTTTTATTTTTGCTATTTTTCACTAAAATAGAATAAGTACAGGAAGTATCAATTTTTAGAAATCTTAAATGAGTAATAATGGATGTTATATAATCAGTTACTATTTATACTTCCTTTTTTTTTCTCACTAGAGTCCTTCATTCCCCAAAGAGCATCATATTTAATTTATGTTGTGTCAATTAAAGTACAGACCAAAGATTTCCTTTCCTTCTGGGTTTAGTTATTTCTACTGTCCTTTAGGGGTCAGTTTAAACTATCACACTTTCTGAACTATCTTCTCTGACTCCTATGTGCTCTCAATGTATCTTGTAATTAACAATATCCTAGCACTTACCATTTTGTGTTGTCGTTGTTTTTTTAAAGATATTTTATTAAGCCGAGCCGGCGTGTCTCAGTGGTTGAGTGTCAGCCTATAAACCAGGATGTCATGGTTCGATTCCTGGTCAGGGCACATCCCTGGGTTGCAGGCTTGATCTCCAGTGTGAGGCTGCAGGAGGCTGCCAATCAATGATTCTCTCATGGTTGATGTTTTTAACTCTCTCTCTCCCTTTCCCTTCCTCTCTGAAATCAGTAAAAAAATATTTTTTAGAAGGTAATTTATTGAATTTTAAAGAGAAAGGAAGGGAGAAGGAGAGAAACATCGACGTGAGAGTGGAACATGACCAGCTTCCTCTTGCACGCTCCCAACTGGGGATCCAGCTCGCAACTTGGGCATATTCCCTGACTGAATCAAACCAACAATCTTTAGGTGCACAGGATGATACCCGCCCAACCAAATGAGCCACACTGGCCAGGACTTAACATTCTTTTGTTCTTGTTAATCCTCACCTGAGGATATTTTATCCATTGCTTTCAGAGAGATGAAAGGGAGGAGGGTGGGAGGAGAAGAGAGAGAAATGTTGATGTGAGAGAGACACATTAACTAGTTGCTTCCTACATGTGCCCCAACTGGGAATCCAACCTGAAACTCTTCAGTGCCCAGTCCAATGCTCTAACCACTGACTGCACTGACCAGGACTTATTCTGTATTATAATGGCCCTGTTACTCCCCTGGTTTGAGACTACATTTTGGGGAGATTACTTGCTTGTTGTGTTCAACAGTCTCTACTTTTGTTCTGCCTGCTTTCCTTTCAAGAACGTTTGCTAACTACTTTCTACGTGCCGGGTACTATAACTAGGTACTGAGATACAGTAAGTGGGAAGGTTTCAAGAGACCATGGTTGCCAGGCAAAAGGAACAATATGTACAAAGATCCAGGGCCAATAGTGTATGGCTGCTTCTGCTTTATCTCCTACAAAAGAAAAACAATATGAAATGAAAACCTTTCTACTCCCCAGTTCCCTTCCTTCTTGTTTCAAACAGGGGTGACTAGAACTAAAATTTCTCTTTCTGCCTTGATGTGTTATATGGTGCTTGGATTACTGCCATCTTTGGCAACAATGAGGTGATAACCACAGGACAAAAAAAAAAATACACCAAGAATTATAGAAAAAAGAGATAAGTAAAAACCTGTCCTAGATGACATTCAGTTGTTAGATATACCCATTTGTTTCTGGGCTTTTAAAGTGAGTAATAAATGGTCTTATAGCTTCAACCATCCTTAGCCAGGGATTCTGTTCCTTGCAGCCATAAGTACTACTGGCTTATTCAGTTTGTATTTTTCCCCTCAGAAAACACTTTCCTAACTTTGCCTATTGCCCTTGGGTGTCAGCTCTCCACACTCCCATAATATCCTAGAGTTATTACTCAATCATTATATTTTCCCACATATTATAATTATTTGTTTATGCATCCGTCTCATTGTATCATCAGAGGTCTGACACTTTGCCTGGCCCATTAGAAATATTCAAAAGAGTTTAATGATGAATGGATAGGTCTATGTTTTTGTCCCCAAAGAGGTAATAATCAAAGCAGGGGGTGAGGAAATACTGAGGAATTACAAAAGATAACAACTATCAAAGAACAGTTTTCAACAGGACTCTCTTAGAGAAAAGAAAGCTTTGGAAGTTGTAGAATATGTGCTGGAATTCTTATTGAAGAAAATAAGAATGTTCTCCCTGTTAAATAATAGCAATAACAGTAACACTTCACAATTGTGCGGTGCTTTTCACCCTGATTCTAATATCAAATTTAACCTCACAACCATCCTGGTGAGGTAAATAGAGCGAGCATTTTAGAGAATAGGAAGCTGCGGCAGAACCAGACTTTCAAACAAGTTATATTCACCAGTAGAGGCCCAGTGCTCGAAATTCATGCAAGGGGCTCAGCCCTGCCACCATGGCTTCATCTGGAAGGTCATCCAGTCTAATTAGTATATTACACTTTTATTATTATAGATACTGTAGACATGAAACTTAACCTTAAGCTAAATTGCTTAAATATTTTTCTTCCACTGAGGTAAAAACTATCTGATGTGAAAAATCTTACCAAATGGTAGACAAATATTAGGGTCAGAATGATGGGATCTGCCATTTCTCTGAAATTTACCCTATGTCTCTATGACTGTTACTCAGTGTCACACATAAGCATATACATGTGCATACTGTCTTTCACTATTCAAATCTTGTTTAAAATATAGGTGGAGAAAGCTGATACATAGTGTGATGTGTCATAATCCTTCATTTCCCTACAGGGGGGAAGGGTTGCATGCTTGAAAATAAGTAAAAGGTTCAGATGCTTGCCTTGACCTGTTACAGCATTTTCCCTATGAAGGGGAAAAAAGACTTAGGACACAAGTCATGAATTGGAAAGTTGCCGGGTAAATACAGAATCAAGGCAGAGGAAGCTACTTATGTGCTATCAATGACTGTTGACCTAAGATTGTGATTTGGATTTGTCTCCACTGTCAGGATGTACCAACAACCTGGACAGTTATGCTGGCTACACAGCATGCAGCTTTTCCTTTCTTCTTTCCTTTCTTTCTTTCTTTCTTTCTTTCTTTCTTTCTTTCTTTCTTTCTTTCTTTCTTTCTTTCTTTCTTTCTTTCTTTCTTTCTTCTTTTCTTTTCCCTTCCTTCCTTCCTTCCTTCCTTCCTTCCTTCCTTCCTTCCTTCCTTCCTTCCTTCCTTCCTTCCTTCCTTCCTTCCTTTTCTTTCTTTCTTTCTTTCTTTCTTTCTTTCTTTCTTTCTTTCTTTCTTTCTTTCTTTCTTTCTTTCTTTCTTTCTTTCTTTCTTTCTTTCTTTCTTTCTTTCTGAACAATAAACACCTTTATTACATGAACTAGGAGTGGGGAGGAGTTATTTGCCTTTCTGAGCCTTGATTTCCTCAGATAGAACTCCAGCTCCTCCAGTGCATAGACATTTGCTCTGACACTTTGGCCTGGTCTTAAAGAGTTGCATACAAGAAGCTTGCCTGGTGGATCTGTTCCTCTAGGATATTGCTAACTTTGCCATTATTTTCCCTTTCATCATATTTCTAATGAATTTCTTTTGATAATTTTTAAATATATATATTTTATTGATATTTTTTTTACAGAGAGCAAGGGAGAGGGATAGAAAAAGAAATATCAATGAGAAAGAAACATCAATCAGCTGCCTCCTGCACACCTCCTACTGGGGATGTGCCTGAAACCAAGGTACATGCCCTTGACCGGAATTGAACCTGGGATCTTTTAGTCTGCAGGCCAACGCTCTATCCACTGTGCCAAACCGGTTAGGGCTCTTTGACCATTTTTGCTCAAAATCTCTTTCTCCTCAGGAGTTAGCTCAGCCCCCTTCTTGTGGCCCAGGATAGTTCATAATGGGTAAGGGGTGCAATCAATAAGCACGATGTAATTCTTTACTAGGATATTGGTGTGGACCAATTCATAGTTGGATGCATGGTAGACAGCATCAATAATCCTTGTTTTGCCTTAACAACACGTGTCAGACAGGATGCATGGAGGCAGCCAATCAGTGTCTCTCTCTCACATCCATGTTTCTCTCTCACATCGATGTTTCTCTCTCTCTCCCTCCTAAAAATCAAAAGCCCAGTGGTTGAGCATCAATCCATGAACCAGGAGATCACAGTTCGATTCCCAGTCAGGGCACATGCCCAGATTGCAGGCTCCATTTCCATTAGAGCATATGCAGGAGGCAACGATCAATGATTCTCTCTCATTATTACTGTTTCTATCCTCTCCCCCCTCTCCCTCTTTCTGAAATCAATAAAAACATATTTTTTAAAAAATAACTTAAAAATTTTTGAAACAAATAAAAATTGATAGAAAAAAATATCCTCAAATGAGGATTAACAACAAAATGAAATATTTGCATAGGGAATACCAAGCATAAATTAAACACATTTTTTTTTTTAAAAAGAAAGAAAAGAGAACCAACATGATGGTGTAGGTCAAGCATGTCAAGCCCGTGGCTCTCAGACTGAATGCTTCATTTATTTTGCCTGTGTTAGCCTTTGAGTTTGACATACGTGGTGTAGGTAAATTCCAGTACTTGCCGCCTCCCACGACCACATTAAAATTACAACTAAAATACACAACAACCATCATTCAAAACCATCTGAAATCTGGCTGAATGAAAATTCTACAACTAGAGAAGATAGCACATTGAGACTGGTAGGAAGTCTAATAAATAAAAAGGTATTGCCAAGCCCTGACCTTTCTGATTTTGGTCCTTGGAGACATTTTGCCATGTTAATTTTACTAGTTTAACTTTGTGAGTTCTGGGGCATTCTTACTTTCCCTATGAATCATCTATATTCTCATAAATGTATTTAAGAGAAGTTTGTAATAAGATTATCTTGTCTTGTTTCCAGGTTTAACAAGAATCGCAGACGACTGTAAAATTAAACAAGCATGTTGAAAGTAAAGTTCAATGTTTTGGTAAAATGATTATTTTGCTTTCTTTCACCTATATACATTACTTTGTCTATCCTTTGCATTTACATTCTGCCTATCAGTCATTCAGGTTAAATATCTTCATTTCCAGAATACTACCATGATCACTCAAGAAAAAAAAAATCTTTAGCTCTATATTATTAGAAATACAAAGCTTCAATAAACACTGGGTAGACTGTCATTAAAAGGACATCTTACAGCCCTTGACATGATTGCAAAGTGTCACCAAAAAAAGCCTCAGAAATAAAAAATGAGTGGTATTAAAAGAAAAGAAAACCAGCAGAAACCCCTGAAGGGTCAGAGGTGGTTATGATTTGGTAAAGAAGGGGAATAGGACCAGACTCCCAACATAGAGAGTAGACTTGGAGAGAAATTTTGAGCTGAGTTCTTTTCTATACACCACATTGCCCACCGTAGATCCACTGCCTTTCCCATCAGCCCTACAACACTGAAAACAAGTTTGTAGGGAAATACTATTAAGATATAGGATTAAAAAAAAACCACAGTAAGTACTGGTTCAATCAACAAACATCTAAGGGTTTCCTCCTACCTTCCCATAGAGGCCTTTGTCACCCAGGAAGCTAGACAAACACATTTTTAGAAGAGAACAAAGCTCAAGAGAAGGTATACAGAGGTTCACTAAGGGGCAAAGCCTTCTGATGTTAGTGACACACATGATGATATAAGAGTTAGACTCTTCACTCATCAGGAGTGACATAGGTAAGTTTTGATCTCCTCTTCTTTTCTCCACTATCCAGCAAGATAATGAATGGAAAACCCTGAGGGAAAATATCTCACAGGGAAAAATAACTATACAGTTACAAAGGCAATAAACTGAAAAACCTATTATAGATGACAAAAATTAATAGAATACAAGCCAAATAAATGTTACCAAACAGAACATTGCTAATGAAGTGGAAACAATCATAAAGAACCAAGTAGGATTACTGAAATATAAAAAATACAGTTGAAATAAACTCACTAGGTGATATAAAGAGCAAAATGGACATAGCTTAAGATCAGGTCAAGAAACTTTTCCAGAAGACATTGAGAAGAAATAACAGGTGGAAAATATAAGAATGGTTTGACTGGCTTGGCTTAGTGGTTGAATGTCAACCTATGAAATGAGGTCACAGGTTCAATTCCTAGTCAGGGCACATGTCCGGGCTATGGGCTTAATCCCCAGTGTGGGGTATGTTGGAAGCAGCTGGTCAACTATTCTCTCTCATCATTGATGTTTCTATCTCTTTCTCCCTCTCCATTCTTCTCTGAAATCAAATATATATATATAAAGAAAATATAAGAATGAAGAAATATGGATGGTAGACATAGAAATAATACCACTTATATAATAGGTGTTTTAATAAAAGAGAAAAAAGTAAATAAAGGGAAGATGATATAATAAAGTAGGAGATAAAGTGCAACATCCAGAGGTAGGTAAGAGTGTTTGAAGTATTTGTTCCAGTAAGGGGGATACTGATAGGTGTTGATAAGTTCTATATATTGGGCAAAATAAATACAAGAGTCTTAACAAGTTATGGATAATCAATGGAAGAAGAAATATAAAATGAAAGCCTTTCAAACCCATAGAAAAAATTGATTTATTCAAGGAAATGAGTGAGCAAACAGAAAAATGAGGAAAAGCTAAACTAAGATGGAATTAGCCCTAGCCAGTTTTGCTTAGTGGTTAGAGTGTTGGCTTTCAGACCAATGGGTTCAATTCAGTTGCAGGCTCGATCCCTGGCCAGGATCAGGGTATGTGCAGGAGGCAAACAATGGATGTTTCTCTCTCATATAGCTGCTTCTCTCCCCCCCTCCCCCTCAATACCTATCTCCCATTCTTTCTAAAAATCTATGGAAAAACATCCTCAGGTGATGATCAAATATATATCAACTAAGATGGATTTAACAGTCTTAACAAACATAAAAGGAATTTAATATATTAGTCAAATTCACCAAAGAAAAGACAGAATACTCAGATTGTATTAAAAAACAAGGTCTAGCAAGATAATGTCTACAAGGGACACATTAAAAGAAAGGATAGGATTAAGTTAAAGAAATGGAAAAAAGCAACTATAAATCAAAAGAAAGCCAAGCAGACATCTAATATCCATCATTATGGGCAAAGGGAGACAGTAAATTAAGAACATATGAGCCCTAGCTGGCCTGGCTCAGTGGACAGAGCATTGGCTGTGGACTGGAGTCCTGTGTTTGATTCCAGTCAAGGCACATACTGGGTTGTAAGGGGTGTGCAGGAGGTAGCCAGTCAATTATTCTCTCTCATTATTGATGTTTCTATCTCTCTCTCCCTTTCCCTTCATCTCTGGAATAAAAATCCTATATAATAAAAGCTTAATATGCTAAGTGTTCGGTTGACCAGTCAGCTGTTCAACCAATCAAAGCATAATATGCTATGATATGTTAAGGCCACTCAACTGCTTATTATGATATGCACTGATCACCAGGGGGAAGACACTCTGACTGGTAGATTAGGTTGCTGCTGGGGTCCAGCAGATCAGGACTGGGTGAGACAGGCTGGACAGGGCTGGAGCCCTCCTACAATCCCTCCCCAGATGGCCATCATCGGTCCCTCAGCCTGGCCTGCACCCTCTTGCAATCCAGAACCCCTAGGGAGATGTTGGAGAGCCAGTTTTGGCTGGTTCCCACAGGCTAGGATGAGGGACCCCACTGGTGCATGAATTTGTGCACTGGGCCTCTAGAGTGTGTGTGTGTGTGTGTGTGTGTGTGTGTTCTATCTAATAGAGAATATGCTAATTAACCCTCATGCTGTCATAAAGATGGCAGTGCCAACAGCCAATAAGAAGGGAATATGCTAATTAACTGCCCCACCCTCAAAGATGGTGGTGCCCACAACCACAAGATGATAGTGCCCAGTCCTCTCAGCCCCACCGGGGCAGCAGGTGTGTGACAAGGACGGGACTGTTCCCAGCAGGCCCAGCTGCTCTATGTACCTGCCTCCAGAATCCTCCAATCCCCTCAGCCCCCACAGCCACGCAGGGTTGGCCCAAGGCGCAGGCAAGCCTCAGATGGAGGCTGCCCAGCATTGCCCAAGGCTCAGGTAACTAGGGCTGGCCGAGGCTTGTGCTGCTGGCAGTGACAGCAGCAGAGGTGTGATGGGGATGGCCTCTGCCTCTGAGGGCTCCCGGATTGTGAGAGAGGGCAGGCCGGGCTGAGGGACTCCCCACTCCAGTGCATGAGTTTTCATGCACTGGGTCTCGTGTGTGTGTGTGTGTATGTGTGTGTGTGCGCGCGCGCGCGCGCGCGTGTGTGTGTGTGTGTGTGTGTGTGTGTAAAAGAATATATGATGTATAACCCTGGCCATGTGGCTCAGTAGTAGTGCTTTGGCCTACCCAACAAAAGGTCACAGGTTCAGTTCCCAGTTGAGGGCATGTCACGGGCTTGCAAGTTTATTTCCAGTCTCAAATTCCTCAGCCCAGGTTAGGGTGCTTGTGGGAGGCAACCAATTGATGTGTCTCTCTCACATCAATGTTTCTCTCCTTCCCGCTTTCTTCCACTCTCTCTAAAATAAATGACCCCTGATCTCTCCTGATAATACTGCCTCATCTGCAGACCTTTCACCCAATGTCTATTTTAACTTCCCCATCCCAATCTGTCACTTGGACTGAAAATGAGGTGTGGGGGGGTCTTTCTCACTCCTCAAAGCTATTTCCAGATCATTCTCCCCTCCTCTTGTTATATAGTACTATATAAAATATTGTATATTACGTTATATATAATAATATTCAACTTAAAGTTTCTTGTCTTTAGACTATACACCCCTATTGCCTTCTCTGTTCTAGTTATTTACCAACTCCTTACTCACTGTCACTCTATCCAATACTGTCATAACCTCTAACAATTTCAGTAGTCACATAGATCTTTCCAACACCTGGCATCGCAATGTTTTGATCTGTTCTCCTTCAGTGATTTCATCCTTTAGCCAGGAGCCATACCCTTGACCTTGTCATTACAAAAAAAACAAACGAAAAACAAAAAAAACAAAAAAAACCCCCACCCTGTAGCTCTTCTATAATCTTAATTTCAAACAACTTATTCTTCAAACATCACCTCTTTATACCTCATTTCAACTAATAACCCAATCCCAACAATCCTTTGATCTTCACAGGAAACTACTTCATTGGTTCTACCATCTTTTTACTCTGCCTCACCTCTTCATGTCCTCATTTCTTTTGTAACCCAGTATAAATTCCATGGTCAATAATTATAATCCATCCCTAGCATATGTTCTCAACTCTAATTCACTTGTTCCTCTCTTGCTCTGAAGTACTCTGTCTGACCACAGACCAGTTTAAATCCAATTTTCTCTGCCTATTCTATAGCTGTACCCTGGCAGCTAAATGTAGCTTTGGTATTTAACTTGTTGACTGGTATTATTTTAAATAATTATTAACCTTGAGTGGCCTCATAAGGCTGCCTGGCAAACATTCTAAATCTCCCTAATCCATTCACTCTGACTTTCCTGAACAACAATTTTGTATTTTCTCCTATATCTTCAAATCTCTGAGACCTTCTCTTTCCTCTTTTTTCTTTTCTTTTTGTTGTTGTTGATGATTAGCTTCTTATTGCACTAAGAAAATGGAAGAACTCATTAACTCCACATACTTCTAGCAGCATATCTCCCTAACTAACTGCATTTTTACCCACATATTCTACTTTCTCTCTTGTTACCCATGGATGAACTATCTGACTACTATCTAATGCTGGCCCTTCCCTTATAGATTAGGTTCCATTTCCTCTCTTCAGGACAATGCTTCAATAATTCTCCCAATCTCTCTCTGTACCATCATCCCTACCCCCCCCCCACACACACACTTTCTACCTTCATGTTATTTTTGTGAACTTTGAAAAGAAAAGCAAACAACTCTCTTACACTCATTTCCTCTGCCGGTTACTGCTCTATTTCTCTCCTTTTCCCAACAAAAACTCCTTTCAAAAATTGTGTAAATTCACCATCTCCAATTTCTCTTCTCTTCTGAACCCACTCTAATCAGGTCTTTCCCCCTACTCCATCATCAAACTTGCTTCTATCAAGG